CCATCCATCCATCCATCCATCCATCCATCCATCCATCCATCCATCCATCCATCCATCCATCCATCCATCCATCCATCCATCCATCCATCCATCCATCCATCCTGTGTGTGTATATATATATATATGAACAAGCATTTAGGAGGAAGTGCAAAGCTTAAAGTGATAGTTCAGACATTTTGAAGCGGGGTTCTATGGAAAGGTTAGGAATTAATTTTTTTATCTTACCTGTTACAGATAAGCTCTTTTAACAACTTTAATATGGAGGAATAGAGTTTAATTCTGAAAGAACTGATAAGCTAATAGCTATTCCAAGCAGAGCTAAATATATAAGCAGGTCTTTTCCATCTTTAAAAAAAACAACTTCAGTCTCAAAAGTTTCATCATCATCACTTTGGCATTACATGATTATTTAAATAGAGTTTTGTGGTCATTTTTAAATGTGACCAACAGCTAACTTAGCATTATTTCATTAATTTGATGTATTCAGAAACCTTCCTAAAACAGGTAAGATACTACATATTCATAACCTCCCCACAGAACCCCACATTAAAAAGAGCTGAATCATCCCTTTAAGGATGATTTAGAAGTTACTGACATTAACTGGGTGTTTCTACCTTTCAGTTTCCGTGAGCGGTTCCACAAAGCAGTCAGAGAGCTCACCCCTCACAGCGAGATCGCCTTCATCCAGTCGGAGGAGGGCAGCGGCCGTGGAGCTGCTCTCATCTCAGCCGTGGCCTGCAAGATGGCAGCTTGCATGCTGACGCCGTAAAGCGAGATTTGCACTGAAGAGGGGTATAAAAAGTCTGGATGCTGCTGGAGGATGATCCACAGACGTGTTGCTGCTGAGGCACTTTACAAGATGAAGGATGTTTGTGAGCAAACAGTTCTAACTAACCACTGGAAGATTTGAGGACAAGGAGCATCAAATCATTTGTGTTAAAGACTCTATTTAATGTTTTAAAAAACGTCTGACAGTTGTAATGTTTCTGAACTTTAGGAATTTGTTGTATTTTTAATACGACAGCTCATTTCAGAAGCAAACTTTGCTTTGGTCGGTTGGTACTGCACACTGAACCGTTTAAACATGGCTAACATCTGCATGTTAAACTGGAGTATCCTGTGTTTTTGTACAACCTAAAATCTTTGTAAAGGTTGTTGTAAATTATGATTGAATCAATCTCATTGCTTGGATGCGTAAATCTTGTTAGTATCTCTTTATTATTGTTTATTTAAAACTTTACAACTTATTTACACCATGTAGTTTTTTTTTCTTTCTTATGTGTAAAACGAATTACCTACTTTGGATTGTATAAGCTAACATGTAAATAAAGTAAAAAATCACAATCAGTAATATCGAATTGTTGTTTTTTTTTCATTTACCAAAAATGGCAATCGCTTGAACAAACTTGCAATAATTTTTGAGATATGGAGGGTAAGTATCAATAATTTACACAAGGGCAGTCTAGTTGCAAATAAAATGTTTTCTAAGGACTTTAACAGTTTTCATCCAAAATAATTATGGAGAGGTTGAAAATTAAAGCAAACATTACTGCCTTTCAGGTTTGTTGTAAACCAGTCCGGGGGTTAGGAGACTTTCACACAACTTAGATACTGAATTAAATTTTTATTCATTCAACCTTTATTTATACTGAGTCACGAGGACTCATTTACAAGAGCGACAACATATAAAGAACAGACAACAATAAACTACAGTAAAAATGCAGTTAAAATAAAGGTAGTGTTATAAAAATTGTCTTTATCAAATGGTTAAAATTCCCTAAAGAAATAAGGTGGACAGCTTCAGTTCCTGTTGCAAGGTGTTCCAGGTTCTAGGAACTGGGTAGGAAAAGGCTTTTTTGCAAAGTTCAGTCTGTACTGAGGGAACGCTGCAGGTAATGATGGCCTGAGAGAGCGCATGCTGTAACTGCACTGACGACGTGACAAATCAAGATACGTTTGTGATTTATAGAGGAGTGGAAATTAAACACTCTGGCAGTCCAAGGTTCAGAATAAATCTGTTTTCTGAGGATGCTCAGCTGTTTTGTTATTTGCAGCAGGATGTTGTGCATCTTCTAGTCTGTGGAGAACACAGTTCTTCTGTATCCTTATGATGGGACAACAGCACTCTTGAACAACCTGATTATAAAAAATCTTGCTCTGTCATGTATAAAGAGTAAAGTTTAGGGTTTAGAGCTTATTTTAACCACAAGGGGTTGCATTATTAGTCAGAGTGGCTGTCAGGGGTCAGAGGTCATGCCCCTCTGTCTCTCCACAGCTCGTTGCTCATATCGCTGCTTTCAGCCCAGAGGCATCCTGTTGCTTCGCCTCTTATCAGTTCACCTCAGTGACACGCAGAGAGCAGACGTGGCCATGTAAGGGGCTCTGCTGCTCACCAGAAGCTATTATTAAAGGGTGGCTGATAAGATGGGCCGTACATAAAACCCACCCCAGCATCACACCTCAGCTGAGTCCACACAGTCATTCCAACATGGTAAGTTACACATCTTTAAACGGTACAGAGTACAAGAAGAATATTTGTCTGAATGTAACCAGATCTCTGCTTCTCGGCAGTTTTTGTGACAGTTTGTGTTCAACTTCTCAGGCGAGTAAAAAGGCCTCCAGAAAGGGACAGAGGGGAGCTCAGAAGTCCTGCTCCAACGTCTTCTCCATGTTTGAGCAGTCACAAATACAAGAGTTCAAAGAGGTAAAGATATTTCTTTATACTTTTAATGCTTGTCTTTCAGGGAAATGCAGCATTTAGGGTTTTTTAAAATCATGCAGCAACAGAAAAGTTCAAACTTTATCTTTTTTTTTGAGAAACAAATGGATGTGGATAATAAAATGTAATTTTTTTATGTGGAACAGCATGAACCAAAGAGGTGCCAGAATATTATTTTGTTTTATTACTCCATTAATCTCGAATTGGAGCAGGGAGCAGCTGGGGGGTTAGGGGCCTTGCTCAAGGGCACACAGTGGAGTAAATGAGGGTGGAGGCCGATGTAGGTGCTTCACCTTTGTGCTGGTCTGGGGATACAAACCTGCAACCTCCTGTTTTCAGGCTCGCCTTCACTGCCCTTGGTGCCTCCACTCCACCATTGTGCTGATTTCAGTTTTTGTATTTCATGCAAAAATATGCAAAGTAAAAATAATAACACAACAACAAAACAACAAAAATGTTAAGTAAAATATCTGTAAAGACGTGACAAATAACCCTTAACTATCACAGTGTATCTTTATACTAATGCTTTTTTATTTTTTTATTTAGCTTATTTATTTTTAACAAGTGATAATTGTCTTGCTGGCCCTGTTGAAAACAATTTTTTAAAATAAAAATAAGTGTTTTTTTTTTTGTTTGTGTTTTTGTTGTTTGTTTTTTGTAATAATAGAAGTCGTTTCTGTTTCTTCCTGCAGGCGTTTGGCTGCATCGATCAGGACAGAGACGGAGTCATCAAAAAGCAGGACCTGAAGGAGACCTACGCTCAGCTGGGTATTCAATATCCAACCTCAAACATTTAAATTTCTGTTTTTTTATTTTTAATTAAGATAAATAGATGGGTTATGACTGATTAGTAAAAAAATCAAATAAAGTATGCGAAGCCAGGGCCGGCCCAAGGCATAAGCAAACGCGACTGTTTAGGACCCCGGGGCCACTAGTGGGCCCCCTAAGTGGAATGGATTTTTTTTTTTTTACGTAATGAAAATATATATATAATTCTATTTAGTATTTTAAGTTCATCTTTTGCAAATTATTGCATACATTTACATAGTTTTAAGAACTAATTATTTAACTTTAAATGCATTTTTAAACCATTTTATGTGGTTTCAAGTAATTGTTCATTTACATTATTTAAGGATTTCCTTGATATTTTATTTTTATTTTATTTTGTCTGTTTTTGCACAGTTTATTATTATTTTTATGCATCCGAGTTATTTTATCTGTTTGTTGTTGATCTTGCATTACAACTTATTTTGACCATTACTGATGCAGTTCTTTGGAACCAAGGATAATAAACCAGATGACACTTTGCTGTAAAATACATTACATACTGGTGTTTTTTTTTCTTTTGT